ATTCTTGAAGCTTAGGTAAAGGACACCAGAATAAAACTAGGATCTTTGGGAAGAATTAAAAAACATTGGGGAAGATAAATATGTGGATTAAAAATATAAGTTTTTCTCTTAATTTCTTTAATTCGTGGGTTTTATCCTGTCTATTGATGTAACACATTTTACAACTGGGATGGATGTGTGGTTTAAATGGACATATTAGGTAAAAAGATACAGTAATATATCAAGTAAAAAGTAAAAATTAAGAATGTATAACGTAATCCACAGAGGAAACACTAAAACATTGTGCAAAGAGAAATAACACAAATTAAAATGGAATTCTAAAAAAAATATTCAAAATAATCCAAAGAAGGAAAAATAGAAAAAAACCAAACCAGAAAGAACAGAAAAAGGAAATATATAGTAAAATCATAGGCTAGGCACAAGTATATCAATTGCCTTAAATGTAAGTGTACTAAACACCCCTTATCAAATTAAATTAGAGATTATCAGAATGGGTTTTCTTTTCAGCCCCAACTATACTCTGAAACATATGCAACTTATAAATAGTTATAAATCTTTTTTGGATCAACTTTAAGCAAACAGTTTTCCAAAGTCTCCAAGGTTCCCATCTAATTCTTCCCAAAGTACTTCCTCCTTCATTATATTAATGTTCCATCCTTTAGCATCAACTACTGCACTCAAATTTATTAAGTCCCGTAACCAGAGGCCCAGCGAATAAGAGCAGCCATCTAAACAAAAGCACATTCCACATTTTTCTAAAATCCCATGGGGGAAAAAAGATGCAAAAGGTTCTCCTCATTGTCTGGTTTCTGATTTCTATAACAAGATGTGAGCCCCATTACAACAGCCAGGAAAGGATGGAACACGCAAAAGCAATTAGCCAACTTTTAAAACAATATCCACTTCTGAGGAGACAAACCATGCAGGAAACAAAGTAGTTTTGATCACTCCATCTGGATTTCGATTAGTCCCGTGTTTACGATAGATCTGCTTTAACATTTTACTGTATTGATAAGTGAGCGCTTTGTTTTGCAGGAAAAAATAATCCACTTCAGAATTTTGAAATGATGTTATTCCTCAATTAAATTCACTTTATAAATGCTGAAAGAAAAAGCAAGAAAGTTCCGGTGGCCCTCTTACACTCAACATCGTGCCTTGTCATTGCAGAGTTTCTGTTTTCGATGTATAGAAGTGATAGGTGACTCTTAACTTTAAGTTTTATGATATATTTCAGATTAGAAAATTTGCGGAAGACCTATTCAGTTTTTCACCATAGAAGGACACATTTGCAAGAATAGAATTTTTGTTTCCATGAAATTTTATTAATATGATATCAAGATTACCACCAATCATGATCACAGAAGCAGCCTTTAAGGATTTAAAGTGAAAATATGATGTAATAAGCCAGATAAATAGGGAATTCTTAAAGTGGTGTGCAGTGGTATAGCCTTAATACCAGGGCCAGCCTCAGAAATTTAGCAAGATCCTGTCTCAAGATAAAAATGAAAGTGGCAGAGAGGTGGCCTCTGGGATTGTAACTCAGGAGTAGATCACCCCTGGATTAAACACACACACACACACACACACACACACATTGATAAAATTCTTATAGATTAGGGCGATTTTCAACAATCATTCATTGCTTAGTTGATAAAGTCATTTTCTTCACAAAACTCCCAATTTCTTCAAACTTCATCAGTTTGGTAACTAAATACTGCCTAATATGTAATTATAGATACTTGCAGTCATTAAACAAATAGGATCATTTGTATTTCATAATTTAGATAGCTGATTTCATATGATGTGCATATCTTTATGTTGCATATAAGAGATATATAATAAATGATGTTTTTGACAGTTATGAAGCTGATTTTCCTCTGACAAATTGGTTGAGGATTCCACTCATGACTCCCCTACAATAGCTATAAATATGAAATTTTCTTAGCCAATCCCAAAAAACCAAATGCTGAATGTTTTCTTTGATATAAGGAGGCTGATTCATAGTGGGATAGGGAGGGAGAGCATGGGAGAAATAGATGAACTCTAGATAGGGCAGATGGGTGGGAGGGGAGGGGAGCATGGGGTAATTAATGATGGTGGAATGTGATGATCATTATTATCCAAAGTACATGTATGAAGACACAGATTGGTGTGAATATACTTTGTATACAACCAGAGATATGAAAAATTATGCTCTATATATGTAATAAGAATTGTAACGCATTTACATATGTTATATATGTTTATATATGTTATATATAAAGAATAAATAAAAGAAAAAAAGTAAATGGTGAGGGAGGATGGATGAAGGATCATTCTCAGGGTTTTGGATTTGAATAAATCCCAGGTTTGGGACTCCACTGTCCATCAAATACATATTTAAGGTTGGACCATTCACTTAATATAAGAGAATCAAGTGAAGAAAACTGAGGAATGGATATACTGAATTTGAAGTACAAAGAAATTGTTTTGAAACTGGGATGAAATAATTGCAATGAAAAGGACAATTTGAGGGCCATTAAAGTACAATGATCATTAAAACCATGGATATGGATGAGATCATTCAGGAGACTCTGAAATCACAGAAGAATGTTGAGGAGGGGACCCCAGGACACATCAACCTCTTAAGGGCAAGGAGAACAAGAAGTCCTAAGTGATGGCAAAGAAAGTCAGGGACATGGTGAGGAAGAGAGTTTGCTATTGAAATCAAAAGGCAAAGAGAGTGTCAGGGAGGAGGGCAAATTATGCAGAATATGTGACTTTGCAACATCTTATTAATGCTATGCAAGGATGGGTATTTCAACTCCTAGCTAAATAAGCCATTGGAATTTTTCATTTTATCTGTTTTCAGGAAAACTTTTTAATTTAACCTTTGGAACATAACCTATGTATCAGTTTCCTAGGGTAGTCGTAACAAACTACCACAAATTTGGTGGCTTAAAACAGCCATTTTCTCACAGTTCTGGAGGCCAGAAGTCTGAAATCAGCTTTGTCAGGACTGGTTCCTTCTTAGAGGGTCAGAAGAAGACTCTGTTCTACCTTTATCCCAGCTTCTGTTGGTTGTGTAATCTTTGCCACTCCTTGGATTCAGGCAGAATAACTCCAGTCTGTGTTTCTACTATTACATGGTGTKTACCCGGGTGTCTATGACCAAATTTCCCTCTTCTTATAAACACAGCAGTCACTGGACTTACCCAGTATAAACTAATCTTAGTTTAATTAAATCTGTAAAAATACTATTTCCAAATAAGGTCATGTTCTGAGGTTTGGAGGGATATGAATTTGGGGAGGACACTACTCAACTCCATACACCCACCCTAGAGATAAGATCACAAATATACAGGTGCTATAGCAAGAGAACTCTAGAACAAAGGGAAACGTAAGAAATTGGAAGAGTACAAAAATGGATAAATTTTATGTGAGGATCAAATTTTTACAGTTTAGTCTCAATTGTAAGAGAAGCCAAAATTTAAGAGTCATTTTGTAGAAATTCCACATATTTATTAGCCATAAGAAACACCTATGTCACTGTTTATTAAAAAAAAAAAAGTCAGCACATCATTCTTTCTTCTCTCTCTCTCTCTCTCTCTCTCTCTCTCTCTCTCTCTCTCTCTCTCTCTCTCTCTCTTGCCCCTCATTGAAATAACAGAATCAGAAAGCGTTCCTAGTCCATAAGGACCTAAGGACCTGTGTTGACAGAATTTCCATAGCCAGGCAGGTGGCTAAACTAATGGACTCTCAAACTCTTAAAGTAATGAAAGGTGTGGCCAGGGACCATACATTGACTCACTAAGCAAAAGTTACCTTTTCCTCATTATCATCAAATATTTATTATGCACCATGGTCTGTGGTATCATTAAGTATTAAATATATTAGAGTCTAAAAATCTCCTTTCCTAGGATGACATCAGGGAGGAGAAAAAAAAATGGGCACAAACATTAAAAGTAAAATTTGTAATAATTTATAATTCTGAGGTTCCTTTGAGCCATACTGTCAATTCAAGAAGTGATTCTAAGACATGATTCAGGGTTAATCCTTCCGGATCACACTTTTCTCTCCAACTTCTTTCCACATGTGACACTTTTTCAGGGTCCCCAAATCTGAACCAAATCAGATTTAGTTGTTAGCTGACCAAGAGCGAGGTCCCCTGAGAGCAAGCCTGCAGAGCCATCAGGCAGAGGAAGAGCAAGACTTCCCTTCTGAGGCTGCCACARAAGAGACAGGCGGTTGAACATTAAGGATGGTTTTCGTACCAGTTCTGAAGGTCGATTGGCTTTCAATTGTTCTCTCATGTAACAATAAAGAATCACTCTAATAGGTCTTTCAAAGGCCTGGACGGTAAAGATTGGGTGGTATTTTTAAAAAGGAAAAGTAAACTACCCTATTGTGGCACCCGGGCGCTTTCAGAAATCAAACGTGGGGCCAGCGCAGCAGGAGAAACTGTCAGGGAGTTTGTGGACAGGCCCTGGTCACGGAGCCCTGCGGATCCTAGAAACAGGTTCCCACACGTTTTTGTTGCTCCGAACTCCAGAGGGAAGCGAGATCACTAGTTTGGACGGAGAACTTGTGTTTTCGCGGAAGATTTTCTGCCGGGGAGCCCAGAACTTGGGTCTCTGGCTTGGGATAACCAGTGGCCCAGGGCGCACTCTGGGCCCAGACCCCACCAGTCCCCGGTTCTCGGAGGGAGGAGCGGCGCGCGGGGCTGGAAGCCTTGGCCGCGGAGTTTTCGGTTTCCCCTTGTCCTTCTCAAGCCTCTCCCACTTCCTTTTCCCACCGGTCCCCTCCCGCCCGCCCAGTCCCGGTCCGGGGGGACGCGCCCCCCGCAGGGTCCCGTCMGCCTTCCCCCGGGACCAGAAGGAGGCGAATTCCTGCGGGTCCCAGGAGTGCCAAGAGTGAGGCGCAAGACGGGAAATTGCAAAAGTCCTCGCCCCTCTGCCCTCCCCCGCGCCTTTCCCGTAACTCCCGCCCCTCGGCGCTCGCCCCGCAGCTGATTCATAGACCGGGTGCGGGGGTGCCCCAGCACGTCCGTCCCGCGTCCACTCCGGCGTCCGCACGGGCGCCCCCGGCGCCTCTGAGGACTCGGCCCGGCTCGCGGAGCCCGTTGCCCGCGGGGTGAGTACCCCCGATCCGCCCACTCAGCTCCGCTCGGCGCCCCCACGGAGASCTCAGCTCCCGGGCCGCGCGCCCCGCCTCCCTCCGTGACTTGTTCGCAGGGCGAACCCCGCGCGGTGCTGGGAAGAATCCCACATCTCTGTAGCCTTTCCCGCTGGACGTGCTACGGCACGGTCCTTCCTGGCTCTGAGCTCCGCGCTGCCTGGGACAGTGTTTGCTTGGGCTTGAGCTTCAACCTTTGCGCTAATGGTGCTCCAAGGGGTCTGAGTCTCTGGTGCATCTACCCGGCAGGTAACACTAAAAAAAGACGGTGTCCTTAGTGCAGATGGCCAGGTCACCACATTTCCCAGYCTGGTTGTGAGTTCACCTCCCATCGCCTCTTTCTAAAGTGGTAGGGAAATGTTTGAGTTAAAATTCCCTTTTGTCTCTCTTCTAACATAACTTCTGGAGTTAATTTCTGTCTCCAGCTCCTCCTGACCTTACCTCCCACCTGACAATGCCCTTTCTCTGGGAATCCGTGTCTCTCTCACCACCAGGTGTCTGTTGAGATAGACAAGCGGGAAGCAGGGCGGTCACTCACTCACGTACAGGTGGAGAAAGGAAATCCCAGTGACTGAGGTGGTGGCAGGGGCAGGCAGTAATTTACCTCTTTTCCAGCCACGTGAATGCAAGCAGTACCTTTTTTATAGACTAGAAACCTTAGGTGTAGGGTCAGTAACTTGTGAGGGTGCTGAGATCAGAACCCAGGTCTCACAAACCAGAGCTCTTCGCCAACACTTTGTTTCCCTTCTTGATAGTTCTTCTCCTGACATTCATCCACCCACCCCGCCATCCATCCATCCATCCATCCATCCATCCATCCATCCATCCATCCTTCCATCCATCCATCCTTCCATCCATCCTCCTGTTGCATGGCACGCACAATACTAGAAACTGCCGAGAACTGCCACTTGTTATCGGACCTGCCTTGAACAACTTGTGGAAAACTTTGAGAACAAGCTTATTACCGATTCAGGAGGACTAAAGGTGAGCGTAGACGTAGGCAGGGGAAAGATGGACTTGAATGTGATAACTAATTTGAACTAGGAGGAATTCTGGTGGAGAAAAGAACTCCCCAGTCTAAACTGACTTTGGAACTTGAGTCAAGTTACTTTTCACCTACTGGTTTTAGTTTCTTTGTTGGTTAAATAAGTAATGGTTCATTCTGTAGACAGGTATTATATTAAATATGCGTTTTACGTGTGTTTGCTCATTTAAACTTCACCAGTAAATAAATAAGGTATTAATATTATTATCCTCATTTTATCAATGAGGAAAATGAAAACCAGAGAGGTTGGGTAACTGGATTATGGCCACACAACTAGCAGGTGACAGTGTCAGGACTGGCCTTGGAGTTTTCTCAAAACCACTATGCTGTTTTTGGAGTGGGCCTGAGGTGTTTGGTTTTTTGTTTGTTTGTTTGTTTTTGTTTTTGTTTAGTATCTTGCTTTGCCTCTGTTCTGTACTACTTTAAAGTATATTCCAAGACCCTGGAGGTTGAAATCCTCAAACAGTGGCCCAAACTGAGATGTGTCTGAGAATCATTCCTGAAAATTTTCAATCACTGCTACTTATTCAGAATCTCAGGGGATGCGCAGTTGAATATCTCTGGCAGCATTTCAAGTACTGCTAGAATGCCTCCAGGGGCAGAAAGCTCACCACCTAGCATTTCATTGTTGGACAGGGCTTATTCTCAATAGCCATTTGTCTCCTTGGGACTACAACCTGGCCCCTGTTCTGCCTCCTGTTGTCTGAGCTTTTTAGATCAAAAGCAGCTTTGAGACAACAGAGCTGGTGCTGGGTGTCCAGCAGGGACTTGAGCCTCTGGGGGAGGACGCTTGAGCTCTGGGTCACCTTTCCTCTTCACTTGTCTTTATCTGGATAGAAACATCTACAGCAGAATACAGAGGGGGCAGGTCTCTGTAACCCTTTGTCCTGAGAAAGGAACCAAGTCAGGAAAACTATTGTGGTTTTCAAAGAGGAACCAGTGATATTGTATTTGACAAGAGGAAGGAGCATGTTTTCCTTGTGGGAACTGGGTTGGGGCGGGTGTTGGCTCTAGTAGAAAGACTCCTGAATTTCATCTCCATCACTTACAATAACAGGGAGCCTTGACCTCCTTTCCCTGGGAAAGGACATCTTTCTTAGTTTTAAAATAATATGTGAAATGGAAAAAAAAGTAGGGTATTGCAAGAGAAAGCCTCTCTAAGGAAGGCAAGCTTCCTCAGAGCTATAGAAGGAGAGTTTCTTTTCCAAGGGTTTTGTCCTTGGCTTCACCTCTTCCACCCCTCCTCATTTTCGTTCTACTGGTTTCTCAGCATCTGCTCTAGATGATATTTGGTTTGTATGTTTGTAAAGTAACACAAGAATGACAATACATTCTCAAATAATGTGGAAGTATATGCAATGATATCTAGGCACATCATCATCATCATCATCATCATCATCATCATCATCATCTAGGGATACCCGGATCCACTTGGAAGAGCAGAGGTTAAGTTTGTCATTCTAAGATCTTTTTCCTTTCTAAAGACTTGCAGAATGTGGATAGATATACACACACTTTTTAGTTTGTTTAAGCATGCAAATTTACTATTCTTAGTGTACAGCTTCCTTTTTCACTTTCCAACTCTTAAGAGAGCTTTCCAAATCTATACATTATCTCTTTAGTTAATGGCTCCATGTACTTCAAAGAAGAAATACTATATAATTTACCCATCCCCTTTATCAATGCACATATGTGTTCTTTAAAATAATTTGGCATTATTGACTGCTTTAGGGAAGATTGTGCATCTGTCTTTGGGCTCTAGTGTTAGTACTTCTATGGACTAGAATCCCAGGAGAGTTTTAATTAATTAATTAATTAATAATGTTCTTTTTAGATATACATGACCGTAGAGTGTATTTTGACATACATACAAAATACAATTAGAGTATAACGTATTTTAATTAGGACCCCATTCTTGTGGTTGTACATGATGTGGAATTAGACTGGTCAYGAGAGCTTTTCTTGAGCCCATATTTCTACTTGGCAAACACAATCCTTCAAATTGCGCGTCCTCCTGTTGTACTGGTTTAAACTCAGCACATGATAATCTGTTACCCCTCATCCCTTCTAACACCARCTGTTATCTTTTCTTTTCTATTTTTAAATATGGTAAGAGAATGGAATCCAATACAGTACTTTAATTTGCATTTTGCTAATTATTACTATGATTTAATTACCTGTATATATTTATGGATCACTTATGAACTATAAATTAATTGTTCATGTCCTTTGACAGTTTCTATTGAGTTGGGTTTTCCTCATCCCTATTTATTACCCAAACTCTGTACCTATCTGTTTATTAACTGYGTCTCTTGTAGATGATGCAAATATTTTTTGTAGCATAATGATCTCTTTTATCATTTTTTTACACTGGCCAACTACATATAATATTTAACAATTTTAAGGATATAGTTCAGTACTGTTAAATATATTCACATTGTTGTTCACCATCCCTACCATCTATCTCTAGAACACTTTTTAGCTAGCATAACTGAAATTCTGAACCCACTAAATAATAACTCACCATTTCTCTCTTTCCCTAACCCTTGGCAAACTCCACTCTACTTTTATATAAATGAAATAGTTATTCATCCTTTCATGATTACTTCACTTAATATCATGTCCTCCAACTTCATGTCGTACCAAGTGCCAGAATTTTTTTTTTCATTTTTAAGGCTGATTTCTATTCCATCATATGTATCTTTCACATTTTGCTTATTAATTCATACTATTTTTGTCTTTATCTTTGTTGCACAGAAATTTTAAACACAGCAATCTCTTGATTTATGTGCTTTGTCTCGCTTAGGAAAGTCTTTTTCACTTAAAAATTAAATTATCTTATTTTCTTGTAATATCTTTATTTTTTAGTTTTTACATTAGATCTTTAAAACATCAGATTTTTAAAAATAAAATTAAAGGTAGGAATGTAATTTATTTTTTCTTTAATTTTTAGACAGTCAATCCAACACCATTTTCTTTATTAGTCCATCTTTTAACTCATTTGAAATTTGATTTTATCATAAAATAAATTCCTGTTTATACAATGGTCTGTTTCAGGACTCTATTCTGTTTCTCATATCAATATCACCCTGCTAATACTAGAGCTTTAATAATGTTTTTATGTCTAATAGTATATATTTCACACAATCTTTAAGTGGTTCTCATACATGTTCTTTGTTATATAAACTTTATAGCTAGTTTGTCAAGTTTAATAAATTTCTCTTGGACTTCCTTGGAATTTTGTTGAGTTCATAATCATTAGCAGTCGTTTCTTCCTTATTGCTCATTTTAATATAACTCCAGGCATTGAGGAAGCGATGCCTTACAGTAAAGGGTTGGGCTTTGGTAAGCGACCCACCTGGCTTCCAGTTCTGTCTTCACAGTAGATTAACTGTGTCAACATGGACAAGTTACTGTTCACCTGTTTTACCCTTGATTTCCTCATTTATGTATGGGGATAATGAAAGAATCTCTTCCATGGGACAGTTGTGAAGATTCAACTAATGATGCCTATAAGTAGCTTAGGGAAGTACCAGCTGGAGAATTAATCTGTGCTGCATGCTAACTGTGATCACTTTTTAATTTTTATATCCTTTTATTTTTTATATATCATTCTCTGTCATTTTTGGAGAATCGTTGAGAGTAGGAACTAGCCAATTATTTATTGTTAGTATCCTAGGAGAAAAAATATGTAATAAATCTCCAATTTAGTAATGCTTCTCAAATTTCAGTATACACATGAATCACTTGGGGACCTTGCATGAATGAAAAATGTTTTTGTTCAATAAGTCTGAAATGTGGCCTGGGAGGTTGCATTCTCGAAAGCTACCAGATGATATCAAAGCTACTTGTCCTTTGTCCATAATTTGTGTGTATAGTCTTTTACTACCGTTTAAAATTATGCTGCTGGTGA